GGGATAAATATTTTTTTTTTTTTTTTTTTTTTTTTGCGTTTCTCCATGTGAATTTGGACAGAAGATAAGAGCAAGTTAAACTACTATAAATGTAACATGTTGAACAAAGCTGATGCAGTAAAGCTATTTCAATATCAACTCTGAATTAAAAGTCTGCTATTAATAATTCAAAACTATAATAGATGTAGCATTGATTATGTGGAACTTTCAATATGGAGTCTTGATGCACCAATAAACGACTAATGTGTGAATAATATACTAAACCACTATGAATAAAGATGTTTTGGGGTGATGTGTATATTTTGTTTTTGAGTATGGTAAGATTACTTTTAACCATATATTGGAACAATTCATATAAAACATATGTGTCTGAAGTGAAACTAATAGTAAATAATATGGAAATATGGAAAGCACTAATGTTTCGCACAACCAAACAAAATAAGCATAAAAATGCAACTACTCCTACTGTGTCATTTTTATTTATGATAAAATAACGTCTTTATTATTTCTGTCCTCAGAGTGGGAAGTTTGCAGGAACTCCTCTGGAGGGTCAGGAGAGTCAGCCGCAGGGTTTGGGCTACACGGAGGACGCAGCTGAACATGAGCAGATGACTGCAGTACTTCGCACCAGCCTGCAGGGCGGCGACAGTCCATCCTCTGTACTCCCCGGCCTCCGCACACGGACTCGAGCCACTCGAGGTATATTCATTCATATGTTCAGATACAGATACAGATGCTGACTTGCAGTAGTCCTTAAAGAGCTGAAGTCGGCAAAAAAATATTGAAACCAGTTCTCTCCTTCTCATGTCTCATTTCCAGGCCATATGGCACTTTTGTCTGCTGCAAATGAAGACACTTCTAATTGCACAAATGATACAGCGGATGAGATCATGGAACGCATTGTGAAATCAGCCACTCAGGGCCCCAGTCAGCGCACACAGCCCCGCGAGAGGAGACGCTCCAGAGCCAACCGCAAATCCTGTGAGTCTGCGGAGCCACACACAACTATGCCCTAATCCTTTCAAAGGGTTTGCCCTCCAGAGGAAGCGTTTTGAAGGGTATTTGATTTAATAAAATAAATAAATGTATTTGAACTAAATACAGTAAAATGGAAATATTACAAAATATTCTTACAATAAAAAAAAAAAAAAAACTGTTTTCTAATTTAATATATTTTAAAATGTAATTTATTCCTGTGATGGCAAAACTGAATTTTCAACATCCATTACTTCAGTCTTCAGTGTCACTGTGTCATGATCCTTCAGAAGTAATTCTATTATGCTGATTTGGTGCTTAAGAAACATTTCTTATTATTATCATCAATGTTGAAAACAGTCATCGTGCTTAATATTTTTGTAGAAACCATGACACTTTTTTTCAGGATTCTTTGATATATAGAAAATTCAAAAGAACAGAATTTATCTTTGTAACATTATACATGTCGCCTTTTGGTCAATTTAATACATCCTTGCTGAATAAAATAATTAGTTAAAAAAAAAAAAAAAAGATAGTCTATAATATATACTGTAGTAAATAATTTTCATGAATATTTGTAAACCATTACAGTTTAAAAGCTATTTGGATGTTTTAAATTAAACATTTTAAAATATTTTACCACAAACATAATCATCCTTCTTGTTTTGAAAATAGATGATATGTTGTTATTTATTGATATTATGGTATTAGTTTGAATAGTGTCTACTATAATTTAAAAAATAATAGGAGTTTGAATATTTAAAATTCTCTATCTCTTCTCTCTAGAATATGTTTGTGTCATGTGTTTTCTCAACAGCTCTTCGTTCTCTCATTCATTTCGTTTTTAGTCACACTTTATTTTAAGGTCCAATTCTCGCTATTAACAAACCATCAACTACAACTTTTGCCTCAATAAACTCCTTATTGATAGTTAGTAAGGTAGTTGTTAAGTTTAGGTATTAGGGATGCAGAATATGGTCTTGCAGAATATGTGCTTTATAAGTACTAATAAACAGCCAATATGTTAATACACTGTAAAAAAAAAAAAAAATCTAAAGTTGATAAAAAGTTAAAGCAACCAGCTTCAGGAGGTTTTTTAGTTTTCTCAACTTCTTGTTTTCAGTTTATACAACAAAAAGTTGAGAAAACTCAAAAATCTCCTCCAGAAACAAGTGTTGAAGCTGGTTTTCTCATGTTTTAGTGTTTTAGTGTATATAGTGAGAATTGGTCCCTATACTAAAGTTACCCCTTCTTTTTCTCTACAGTAAGAAGAACACTGAAGAACGGCCTTACGCCAGAGGAGGCGCAGGCGCTGGGATTGGCCAGCAGCTCTGAGATGCAAGTGTGAGACAGCATCCGCTCAGGGTCTCGGCACACACACATCTAAACACTAATGTGCTGGAACAGGTCACTTTAGTTCGAGTTTGCGTTCATCTGGAGCAGGTGCATGTTTCTGGGTTTGTGTTTTACGACGGTTATTGCTGTGGACTATTTGTATTCTCACAGGTGAAAGGGATTATAATCACTAACCCATTATACTTTACTTATCCTGGGATGTGTAGTCAGACCTTACTCCATTTACTAGCTTATGCATTTTGTCCCAAGGTGGTCCGAGAGTATCATTGAAACCACTCAGGTGCATGTTCACTGTTCCTGCGGACTATTAATGAGATCCCAAACATCCATTTTAATGCATTTTTGAAAGAACAAGCACAGTTGCAGTGCAACTTCCTGATGCACATCATTTATAGACACTCACACACAGCCTGCAGAATATTGATTGTCCAGTTCTCCAGTACAGAGACTAATGTCCGTCTCTTACCACTGCGGCCTTCAGAATGATCCCAAAAAACTGTGTTTGAAGTTGACTGGATGCCCTCTCACCATTTTTGTTTGTACTGGCTGTTTGGTTGAATTCAGGTGGCATTGATAGTAGCACCTTCAGCATTCATATCTCATGTAAATCATCAGCGATTCTTCTCTGGTTCACTGATGTGGTAAAACGTGTTAGTTTTACCTGCTTTTAAAAAAAGCAGGGCTTCTTATGTTACATGTCCAATTACTTTCAGATAGCTTGAAGCTGAGCAAGAGTTAAGGTTCTTTAATTTCTGCTGAAGTCTCCTTGTGTGATCGAAACCTGCTTAACATTGTTTAACGGATGATCAAATTACTTTGCACACAAATGCAAACTAACTAGAAAGTCGTCTTTCTCTTTCCCCTCCAGCGCTGTCATTTCCTCATACGTTATCTCTATAGTAATACATTCATTGCATAACTTGCAGCATGCACAAGTAGGCAATCATCTATTTAAATGTAAGGACTTCTAGCCATATTTGGTTAAAAAAAATGATGGCATTATAAAAATGAGTGCCTTGAAGAAATGTTTTTTTGTAAGAATTTGATTATTTGGTTAGGAAAGGAAGGCAGAGGGAAAGATTTTAGGGCATTTTAAAGGATTTATAGTTGACACAAAAATGTACAATTCTGTTATTATATTATTATTCTAAACTAACCTGGATATAAATTGGATATTTTGATCAAGTTGTGAGTTAAAAGTTATCATTCTAGTGATCAGTGAATAGAAACTTGTTCTGTTTGTCACAGAACATTATATTATGACTTCAAATTATAGCCCACAAGTCATATGCACTACTTGTTTTGTTGCTTTTTCTTAACAATAGGTCAAAGTCCATATATGTATGGAAAAGAGCTGCATAACGATTCTTCAAAATATTGAACATTTATACAGACCCACAACAGTCATATTGGTTTGGAGAGAGTAAATTACCGAATGTTACGAAGGTGTAGTGATTAAACAGTCAATGCAACCTTTTCATTTTTTTTTTCACTGCGATAAATTTGATCAATCAGCTTTTTTTGGGGGGGGGGGGGGAG